CGTGATAATTTTCAAACTCGACTCGACTCGTTTATGGATATAGTGCCACAGAAAAAGCCTGTGAGGAAGAGCGTGCAAGTTTTGGTTAGATTAGATCGTATAAGAAAAACCCATATTTAACCAAATAATTGTTTTTAATAAATTCACAGTGATTATTAATGTGTTTAAAATGATATTTTAGTATAAGATGAGTAAAAGACTGACAGATAAATTGATGATAGTATGGGCAACACGTGCATGGCCAACAAGAGGCATCGATCCGCATTTAATCGACGCCAAAAAGGTTACACAACACTGAAAACAAGGGGGTGACAAGGACAAGCCTTGAGCTCCAAAACAAAACAAAATTAAAGAGATAGGCCCCACTGCCAGCCTATCTACAGTAGGAAATGTCTCCTCCTCTGGGCTTTCTGCCCCCACAAAAGCCCACTGTCACTGTCCCTCCTGACCCCACACGTGTGCATCCTTATCTGTATTGTGAATCACTGAATCTCCCACCGTAATTCGTGTTTGTATACTTTACTATCATAAATCAAGTGACTATCATTATTAAATATTTCAATAATTAATAATTAAATTTTAAAAATTTATTAGCAAAATTATAAAGTTTCATATATAAATTTCTGTTTGAAAGATAAACATAAATAAGTTTTTTTATAACACAACTATACACACATGGATTATACATAATTTTTTAAAAATTGTTTTAATATAATCTTAGAACATTCACTCATTGCATAATTGAAAATAAGGTTTATGTAATAATGTTCAATTCGATTTATGCTCCTGCCCGCTATGTACTACAAGTCTATATTTATTTTTAGGGTAAATTACAAATTGCGTCATTAAACTTTACTTTATCTTCTATTTTATTCACTGAATATTAAAAGTTTTCAAATTCACTAAACTTAATACATTGAATTTTTTGTCACTCAGCCGTTAAATAGGTAACGGCGTTAAAACAATGGCGTCTAATTTTTTTTTACCAAAATGACATCGTTTTACATCTATTTAAAAGCCTATTTACAACGTCGTTAGTCAGAGAGTGACTGAGTGATTGAAAAAAGAAAATCCAATGTATTAAATTTCAGTTAAGAAGTTTGAAAATATTTAAAGTGCAATTAGTGAAATAAGGGAGAGAGTAAAACTCGGTTATCAAATTTGTAATTTACCCTTTTTTATAACAAAGTTTACATAAGTTTCCTCTTAAATATGTTATTTTTCCTTCTTTATATTTTAATCCCTTAATGTGTCGTACAAGTGCCTACAAAGATATGCTCCATGTAAAATTCATTCTTGAAAGGCGTACACATGTAGGTTAATCATTATGAAATAATGATTGAGAATACTTAAAATATATATTACTTTATAATCACATCAACTTAATCAAAAACACTTATTTCTTAAGTATGGAATAATGTAGGTTAATATCTCCTATGCACATTCCTATTATCATCTTTGACAATTTAAGGCCTAAACGTGGCAACATAAAGCTCACGAGTTAATTGTCTCCCTCTTACCATAACATGGTTTTAATTGAGAAAAGGATTGAGAATTATAGGTTCATATTCCTACGTACAATTATAGAAAACTCTTCCATTGATTAAATCCTTTGAATTATGGTTAGGATGTCTATTATAAAAAATTTACGATAAAGTATAATCTAGGGGCCACCATATTTAAAAAAAAAATGTAAAAATCTGAGAAGATCCTTCAATCTTAATTTATGGTGATTTTGATAATATATATATATATATATATATATATATATATAAAACTAAATTAAGTTCTGTTTACTTGTTGGGAAACAAAGGAAATTAAACAAGAAAAATATAGAGATGTTATCTCCAGCCCTCATCTTACTCTACAGCATCTCTATCTCAACTCTAAAAATGAAACAATAATTCATCTCCAGCATTATCTCCAACACTATCTCTACATATAATAAAAAAAAACCAAAAATCAGAAGAAAAAAATCTTCAACATTCAAATCAGAAAAAATAACTAAAAATCAGAAGAAAAGAAAAAAAAATGTAGCTCATCTACAGTGCAACGCCAGTTGTAGTGTGCACTGTAGTCCGAAGTCACAATCCAACATAACAATGACGATGAGTTGGAGCATAGTATCATCTCCAAAGTGAAGATTTTATTATAGGTTAAGTCTTACAGCATATAATTTTATATAGATATATAATAATTATCGACCTATTTGTTTGTATATTATAATGATTGATTAAAAAAACAATAAAATGTCGGTTGTTACGATTAAGATTTTGATTAAGGAGATTATCATAACCAAAATTAGCTGTGGATGGTTTTTCAGGGGGGGGCCGAAATTGGAGTTAAGAGGAAGTGGTTTGATAAGCTGGCAGTGGCTGGCGGATGGGACGGAGGAGACCCCATTTCCCAGCCAGACAGTAGGAGGAGAAAGGAAAAAAGGATTAATTTGTGGACCCTTTTTGTTGTGCCTCAGCCACTGTGGTCCTTGTTCTTCCATTAGGATGAGCAGCTTTGAATGAAAACCTCCAAGTTGTTGATCCAAAATTATACTTGCGAAACGTCGACCCTCGTACTGTTCAAACATCCACACACTCGTGTGCTCCTGCATGCATGAAAGCAACGGTTATATATATATATATATATATATATATATATATATATATATGTATGCATGAACCAAGTGGTTTCCGTAATAAAGAAATTGTTTTAATTCCTTCAAGACACCGGTTCGAACACTATAGATGTCAAGAGTGTGAGTGTTCAATGTCAAAATTAAAAATTTATCTTTAAACAAATATTACCTTGTACTTAACCCAGATAAATCACACACAAATATATATATATATATATATATATATATATATATATATATATATATATATATATATATATATATATATACTATGTCTGGTTTCCGAAGAGAACAATCACCCATTGAAATTTTGAACATTGGCTGTCGGTACTCCTATCACATCCTTAATCAGACATATTTCAATAAATTTAATTGCATTATATGCCCATAAATCATGACTCTCATTTTAAATTGGTCCTTAAGCTTTGAATATTCTAATTCATCTTCAAACTATGATTCTAATTCCAAATTAGTCCTTAAACTTTTGAACATTTTATTTCAAACTATAACCATTATTTTAAATTGGTTCATAAACTTTTGAAGCTTCCAATTTCATCCTCAGATTCATCCAAATATGTAATTAATTTTAACCATAAGTTAACCTAAACTTAATTTTTTTCAAACATATAATAATATAACTTGGCCTAATGATTTTATTAACATGGAATGTGATTAGTATATACATATAATTGGGACGAAATTGAAATGTTGAAAATGTTTGGGGACCAATTTAGAATAAAGGATACAATTTGGGGGTGAAACTAAAACGTTCAATAGTTTGAGGACTAATTTAAAATGATGTAATTAACTCTATTTGTATAATAATAATTATTGTTCAGAAGAAAAGAGTGTGACGATTTTTGACCGCTCACTCCCTTCTAAATTAAACATAAAGTTACAATCGATTATGCAGTGGAGGAGATAAAGAGAACAAACAAGTTGAAGATGATAATGAACAGTCGTTTGATATAGAGAGAGTCAGTGCTCCCTTTTTCAGCCTTGTGATGATTTATTTACGGTGATGATAGTTATTTGTAGGTTGGCAAGGTAAATAAATGTGACTATCAGATGGTATATACAATTAGATTACGTGAGTCTATCAAAGAAAATATTCAGAGATTATAATTAATCGAAACATAAAAAACCCTGAAATCTTCATAACCCGGTAGACGAAAAAATAACAACTTTTTATTATTATTATTATAAGTCTTATATATGTTCTTTGTCAATTTTTTATCATAACAATCGAAATTCTTAATGGTTAGTTATAACACATAGATCATATATTGTCACGTCATAATTATTTAGGGACTGAAAACATAAATATTCCCACCCTTTCAACCCATGAGGAGCCGTTTTACTGTTTTCCGCCCTATATTCAAAAGAAAAGGATGAAAATGGAGGGCCATGGCATTGATATTACTTCATATCAAAGCGGCGTAGCAATATAAGTACTGTAGTTTAACTTTTAAATTTGGGTAAATTATGTATTTAGTATCTAAATTATCAGTTTTGATCTGTTTTAGTGCCTTATCTTTCAATTTTCTCAAAAGCATACCTAATATTTAGTTCTTATTTCATTTTAGTACCATACCATTAAAAACTTAACGCGTTTAGTACCTAAATTATCAATTTTGGTCCGTTTTAATACCTAAACTTAAAAAAAATTCAAAACTTAACCTTAAATTTTGAACGGGATACTAAAATAAAATAAAAACTAAACTTTAGGTATGACTTTGAAAAAAATGAAAATTTAAAAAATTGATCAAAACTGATAATTTAGGTACTAAATTATCCTTTTAAATTATTATTTTTATTCATTAATTCATTGAATAGCCTCGGTGATTAAAGAGAACGTTATTTTCTCTCGAAAAAAAATTGTGTTATGGCTTAATCCGATCACTTAACCCATGGAAGGTCATCATATCAAACGCTCGAGATTTCTTCTTTTGGAGGTGGTCCGTTCAATTGAATCCATTGGATTTTTTCTGATCTTCTTCAATATTGTATGGGCAGCTAAGATTTGTCCCGACCTTGTCCCCATACTTTTAAGACAAAGTGCCTCAATTATGGTGTTCCATTGTTGCAAACACCTTGGCTGCCCACCACGTCCGATCCCATGTGCTAAAAGATACCCTTTCCCCTAATATATATATATATATATATATATATATATATATATATATATGATTAAAATATGTAAATGCCATCTAATTATTTTAATTTAATCACAATTCCAAATTTATAATAAACTATAATTAATATATTGATTAAATTCCAAATTTAAACATTATAAAGGGACCAAAACCATAATTTAGCCTTAATTATTGCTTTTGTTACCCTATCATTCCCGGCTATAAAGATAACGTTGAATTTGAGTAAGGCATGCATCTGTGCTTTCTCCTTTAAGAACTCAGCTAGCCTGCAGCTTATTGAAAAACACACAGGAATTAAGGTATGGAAACTGAGAGAGAGCTCAACCTCGAGGCGACGGAGCTCCGGCTAGGCTTACCGGGAACCTCCGACGAGTCAGCTAAGAACACAACTCACCGGAGCAACAAAAGAGCCTTGCCCGAACAACCCGTGTCTGCTAATATGGCCACAACTTCTAAGAACTGTGACCAAGAAACTGCTCCACACACCAAGTAAGCAAATCCTTTTTTTTCTCCCATCGAAAATGAAAGATTCCACTTTCCTTTTTCTTGTTCATTGATTAATGGATACTGATTACAAACAATATTGCAGGGCACAAGTTGTGGGGTGGCCACCCATCAGATCTTACAGAAAAAACAGCCTGCAACCCAAGAAAAGTGAGGCTGAAATGAGTGGGATTTATGTGAAAGTGAGCATGGATGGGGCTCCTTACCTTAGAAAGATAGATTTGAAGGTGTTCAAAGGATACCCAGAATTAATCAAGGCTTTGGAAGACATGTTCAAGTTCAAAGCTGGTGAATACTCAGAGAGGGAAGGATATAATGGATCAGAATTTGTGCCTACTTATGAAGATAAAGATGGTGATTGGATGTTGGTTGGAGATGTCCCCTGGGAGTAAGTTCTTTTCTTCCCTTATTTGTATGGATTGCAGATATTAAGATTCGAATCATAAAATTTCGATTTTATGTATCATGTGCCTTAAGAAAATTTATTTGGGATGCAGAATGTTCACCGGTTGCTGCAAAAAGCTGAGGATCATGAAAGGATCAGATGCAAGAGGGTTGGGTTGTGTTGTATGAAAACATGAAGACAGGAACTCATGAAGAAAAAGATCAAACCCTTTTAACTTGAGTCTATCTAAAGAAGATTGATCCTTGATTTTTTTTCTGAGGCATAACCTGAAAAAGGAAGAAGAAAAACATATTTTCATGTACAGTCTGGCGAGTTTGTGTTTATTTCCTTATGGAATCTGTACAAAAGGAAAACATATGAAGTTCATAACAACGTTTTCCTTTTTTTTCCCATGTAAATTGTGAATCAAATCTCCCCTTTCATGTAATTATATGAGCAACTCAACAGTCAAAACATTACCGGAATCAAGTGTATTGAAAGATTGTCTAACCGTTTAATTAAACAATCACTAACATAACCAATCTACATTCAAAATTATTTGTTCGATGTTCATGGTACAACAGACACAAACGAGTTCAGAAAATTTATCGACTAAATAATGGTTTCGCGAACTCATACGTTCTCCTTTGAGATAGAGACCTCAAGATCTGGTTTCTTCTCTTCACCAACGGCTGTGGAATTCTCCTCGGATTGCTCTGTTTGAGACTCAGGTTCCTTTTTCAGCTCAGTCTCGAACTCTTTCGCTGCCTACAATATTTACATAATATTGAGTTTAGTCTTATATCATCGGTGTAGTGTGCAAGCAAGGGTATATCCAAGTGGAAATATTGAAACATCTTGACAACGTGGAAGAACAGATCTTGGCAGCTTTGTGCAAACAAGGAGACATTGGAACACTCGGCATGAGTAGCCAAAATGTTTTCCATGATTCATAATGCTCGAGTCGAGCCAAACAAGAACATCATTGGAAATTCAATCCAGAAGGAAACGATTCCAACAACCAATCTATAACACACATCAGTTACTAGACACATAAATGGAATTTTTTTTCAACGAGCAAACAAAAATGAACCTTCTTCAAAACAGGAAGAATGTAAAGCAAGCTGTACCTAGTTCTGATTTCGAATCATCTAGTTGCACATTCTTCATATTTATCCCATTGAAAATATGGTTTTGGAATAGACGAGTGATACAATACAAAGAGATTACCCTCAATTGGGATTTGGAAGCAACAAAAACAGTATTATACTGTTGAAGTTTAGATGATCACAAAGAGGTGCTTCATAGATTAAGTTCACCTAAACAAATACACACACACACATGTATATTATCTTCTTTAGCTATCGGAATGCAGAAAGACAGGCATGACGAAGTTTGAGAATGTCCCCAAATAATCCTATCAAAAGAACACAGTTCATTGTAAGAATAGGAAGTTCACTAACAGGAACCATCAAGTAATAACCCATCCCTTGAAAACTACATGATGTCAGTTTGAATAACGTAGTGATTTTACCTGAAACACGAAACTCCTAAGAAAACAGAGTTGTCTCACACTTGGATTTCCTACTGTCTTTTTTTTTTTTGACAGAACACAAGAAAGAAGGTACATAATTTTTCTGTTTTAGTTCCATTGGTATTATACATTGCTTTAGCAGAACAAATGTAATTTAGTGTTGTTGTTTATTTCATTCTCGCTATGTGATTCATCTGTGTTTGAAATAAAGACTTCACCAACAACAAGCAATCCGACAGTGCTACGAACTTCTGCTAGCAACTTGAACACTTCTGGTAGCAACTTGAACACTTCTGGTAGAACTAGCAACCCTACTTATTCAGATAAAATTCCACAAAGACAATGAGTGCACCATGAATGGCAGTCAAAAAGGTATAATACTGAAGTTACTCAAACTCAATAATCATTATTATTGATCTACAGATGAAATTTCAGTAATGATTCCAAGGAACCCAAGCTTGTAGAGCTACCTTCAGTTATGATTCAAAGAAATGCAAAATATCACTCAAATGCAGAACATGGGACGTTTAAGAAACAATCAAATTAAATTTATCATTTCCTAGCTCAATCATCTCTCAAATTTGAATCTCAATCAATACACCATAAAAAGCCATCTGAATGTTCTAATTGCTCACCTAGTTAAACAGCAGTAAAGAATTTCCTCATTTTTCATTTCCCCTCCTAAAAGTTCCTCAGTGAAAACACCAAAGCTTCCATTTTTAGAACAACCCAATAACAAAGGAACCATTTTTGAACAGAGGAAGAAAAGGATTCAAATTCTTGTTCATTTTACATATTGAGCAAAACCCAGGTGAGGAAATCGACAAACCTGCTGAAAACTCTTGACAGTTTTCCCAATAGTCTTGCCAACTTCAGGCAACTTTTTAGGTCCAAACACAAGAGCAGCCACTCCAGCAATAACGACAAGTTCTGGCACACCAAGACCAAACAAAGCATTGCAAGTAAGGCCCTTTCTAGCAGGCTCGGCTGTTGTCCTCCGTCCTGGTCGACCGACAACAAAGGAAACAGATTTTTTCTGGGATTTTGATCTGCTCAACAAAGAAATGGTGTTACTGCTGCTGATAAAATTGGATTGGGGAGAAGAGAGAAAAAGTGAAACTGCTGCTGCTGGGGGTCTTGAAAATGAAAGAGTCATAGAAGAACTCTGCATGGTATTCCCAGTCAAGATCTTTGAATTCGAAGAACTTTGATATGTTTTCGAGAATTTAAGAGTTTATACGAGTGTGAAGTTGAGGCTTTTTTAGCAATGAAATTTCAAAGAGGAAAAGATAACAGGGAGCGTATGGTTGGGAACTGATTATCCTTGTAATTTGGATGGTGAAAACGGTCATAACTCGTGGAGTACATGTGTTGATGAAAAGGTGATTAAATTTTTAATTGAAATGTTTGTTTTTTTGTTAACAACCGAAATGATCATTTTTTTACGAGAAAATCATACAATAAAAAATTAATACATTCCTCATTGAAATCTAATGGGAGGAAAATAATATGTGTATTAATGAAAAATTACATCAAGTAAAAACAAACAAACATAATTAAACCAGCAAAACAAAACTGGACCATCAACCGTGACAACCAAATTATCTTATTCTTCGTGCAAGAGATTAGCTATCCAAGTAGGTGGAGAACGAAAAACTATAATGTTCCAAGTTATCAAAAGATGCAGATTTCGTCAATGCGTCTATCATTTTATTCCCGCTAAAAAAAGGATAGGATCTATTTTTTATTATCTTTTACTTTCGATACAAAAATAAATGTATAAATTATATCGTTTTTTATTTAAGTATCTAAATTATTTTTTAGTCAATTTAAATGTTTGATGTTATAAACGTTATCATTTTAAGTATTTCGATCGTAACGACTGTTAAAAAATTCAGTTAAATAATACATATCATATTATGATAATTTTAAAAAATTTATTTGAAAAACTTAAAAATAAATTATTATATTAAAAATACTTAGAAAAAAATCCCCCAACCCTCGCCCTCGCCCTCTGCCTGGCACCCTTTCCTCTGCCTCCCATCCCCCATTCCCTTAGCCCCTTAGCCCTCCCTCCCTCCATTCCCTTAGCCCCTTAGCCCTCCCTCCCTCCCTCCATTCCCCCTCCTTTTATAGTATTACCTATTATTAGAATTGGGTGTATCTTTTAGTTTCGATACAAAAATAAATGTATAAATTATATCGTTTTTTTATTTAGGTGTATGAATTATTTTTTAGTCAATTTAAATGTTTGATGCTATAAACGTTATCATTTTAAGTGTTTTGATCGTAACGACTGTTAAAAAATTCAGTTAAATAATACATACCATATTATGATAATTTTAAAGATTTTATTTGAAAAACTTAAAAATAAATTATTATATTAAAAATACTTAAAAAAAAATCCCCCAACCCCCTCCCTCCCCCTCTGCCTGGCACCCTTTCCTCTGCCTTCCGTCCCCCATTCCCTTAGCCCCTTAGCCCTCCCTCCCTCCCTTCCCCTCCTTTTATAGTATTACCTAATATTAGAATTGGGTGTATCTTTTAGTTTCGATATAAAAATAAATGTATAAATTATATCGTTTTTTTATTTAGGTGTCTGAATTATTTTTTAGTCAATTTAAATGTTTGATGCTATAAACGTTATCATTTTAAGTGTTTCGATCGTAACGACTGTTAAAAAATTCAGTTAAATAATACATATCATATTATGATAATTTTAAAGATTTTATTTAAAAAATTAAAAATAAATTATTATATTAAAAATACTTTAAAAAATCCCCCAACCCCCTCCCTCCCCCTCTGCCTGGCACCCTTTCCTCTGCCTTCCGTCCCCCATTCCCTTAGCCCCTTAGCCCTCCCTCCCTCCCTTCCCCCTCCTTTTATAGTATTACCTAATATTAGAATTGGGTGAGGACAACAAGAATGATTTCAAAGTTAGTGACAGTGATGGTGTCATTGGTAGAGGATCGATCGAGAGGAGTTCAATCGATAACAACGATGACAAATGGTGGTGAATGTCATGGATGGAGGGATTGAAATAATTTTTTTCAAAGTTTTAAGTTTTTTAAGGTTTATGTAAATTTTTAAGTTTTTTTAAGTTTTTATTTTTTAAAAAATCTTCAAAATTACCATAATACGATAAGTGTCACCTAATGGGATTTTTTTTAACGACCGTTACAGTCGGATCATTTTTAACACCCCAAATCTTGGTTTAGGAGTTTTGGGTCTATCCAATTAGGCCTTAGAATAAATTCCTTTAGCTTATGAAAGGTTTGACTTAAGTGGATTTCAGTTTGGGCTTTGAATGAGCCTTATAAGAGAGAAAAAATGGGTGCTTTAATCATGAACCAAAAGAGGAAAGACTAAATGAGTAAATAATTTATTTTCCAAAACAAATGTCGAATTCCCATTTATGTTTTCCCCATCTCTTTTTCCTCACCAAAGCTTGTCTTCTTCTTCTCTTCCTCTCAAAGTCAAGGCAAAGGTTCAAGCTTTTTAGTTTTGCAAGCCTATACCATAACTCCAAGGTAAGAACCTCAATCTATTCCTTTCAAGCTCCTTAAGAACATTAATCTACTCTTTCCAAGCTCCATTTCAAGCCCTCATTTGCAAGATTTGGTTTAGTTATCCAAAAGTGGGTTTTGGTAGGGTTTATGGAACCTTAGGATTTTAAATCCATTTTTGAAGAGGTTTAAGTTGTAGAAAAAGTTCTAGCATCATCCTAAGTTCTAAAATGAGTTACCAACTCATTTACCTTGTTTTGAATAGTGAAATAGAAAGGAGAAAGCTCTAAGGCAAGGGGAAAAGAGAAGCTAGTCCTTAGGTGAGTTAAGGATGTTTTTCAGCAGCTAAGCAACAAGATACCATGTTTTAACTTGTCCA